AGCTATCGCGTAAAAGAGCAGCGGATGAAGTGACGAAGTTGTGCCGTTCCTCAAAAGTACGGTTACAACACATGGTAAGTATACACGGTAAGTATAGCGCAGCGGCGGCGGCGGTGGCCCGCGCGCGCGATGGCAGCGACGGACCGCGCCCGGAGGGACCGCGCCTAGAGATCCTATATGGAGAGATGGGCCAATGCCGACTGATCCGTGATTGGCTCTGCCATGATGTTGTGAAACCGGATGTGAGAGTGAAAGAAGCGAATGTGAGAGTGAGAGGAGCGTCGTCTGCTTATGATTATAAGAAGTACTGTCAGAGACAAAAATTAACTTAGACGAGTCTCTTTTACAGTAAGTAAGTTTAAAATCATCAAAAATGTATCACTAGAACTTTTGGAAAAAATATATATATATAAATATATATAAAAATTCATTTATAAATACATACATACATTTTATATGTAAATTAACCTAAAATTGTTTTTTTTTTTCATTCTGGCAATTGACTTTTTGCCAACAATCTGCACAAACTCGAGATCGTATGATTTATTAAATCTTGTTAACTCACATTAAATATGAGGTTAGAAATCTGTGTTATTATGAGATAAGTTTTCACCAAATAAATAAGTAGTAAAGTCATTGTTTAAATATAAAATATTCATATCACTTCAGATTTCGTATCACTGTGTGTAAATGGAAAGCAACTTTTTTATTCGAATTTAATACGTTTTGCACGTTTTTGTCTATTTTGTCTGTTTTATCCACAATTCTATATTTACGAAAAATAAACTTTCTCTAATAATTATTCATTACAACTTTGAGTTAACAAAGTTATAATAAACAAGTAGTGTTACGTGATGTTTCGAAATTGGCGTTGATATATTAGCGCGCATTTCCAAGATCATGTGATTTCCGGTTTCACAACATCATGCCGGACATTGGCCCATCTCTCCATATAGGATCTCTAACCGCGCCCGACGGACCTCGCGGCGGGGGAGGACCGCGCGCGATAGCTTAAAGTGTTCGGAGGACCCCGCGCCTGGCGGCCATTGACTTCACGGCGACAACACTGATCCCGCGCGAATTTCCCGCGACGTCATTTTCTTTCCCGTCATCCTCCCTGCGGCGTTATCATCATTCTCCCATCCCGTGACGTCATACCCCTCGCCTTTTGACATCATCCACTCCCCTCCCGTGACGTCATACCCCTCTCACCCCGTGATGTCATCCCCTAGCATCACCACAGAGTTCCTAAACGTATTATAATTTACACCCGCTCCGCGTACTTAAACACATTATAATTTATGTTGGTAAACATAAATCACTTTTACTTACGGAAAAAGAACAGACTTGGGTATTTCATGTTGGTAAACCTGGTTCATAAATCAAGAATTTATGTTGGTAAACCTGGTTCATAAATCAAGTACTTACGGAAAAAGAACAGACTTGGGTTAGAACCGGCCTATATACCCTACTTATACTTACCAATTATAATTACAGTAGCGTTGTTTCCTGCTGTAAGAGAAAATAATTAATTAAGTTGATTTATGCTTACCAATCTGGAGACACGGTAGTGTCTCGGCTCTAAGCCAAGCGCGCGACACTGCCATGCCTCCTTTACGCGAAACTGAGAAATTTTCGGGGTCGAGATGATCAGATCTCAGTAACGGCTGAACCGATCAAGTTCTACATACGCTCAATCGACAGGAAATACTTAAATTGTATAATAAAAGTGCTTTCATTTTTTTCCTACGTGCCCTACGAGCGGAGATATCACGACGCAAAGTCCGGATCTGTGAATTTTCACGTTTCATTTTTAAGAAACGTCGTCGTCATCATTATTAACGTCGTCGACCAGAAAGAAATGTCCATCTCGTTTTTTCGATAATAGAGGGCCTTCGACTTTATGTGTTATCTCACTCTATCTATCATCTCACTCTATCTATCTATATCTAACCAGCAGACCAGTGTTGCATGGTATATCACATATGACGCGTGCGCGATTTTAACCTTATAATTAAAAATAAAATATTATTCAATATAATATAAAATATTTATTAATAATATA